CTTCATTTGGGTCCGCGCTAGCATGAGGAAATCCCTCGCTGGGTGCTATTGGCAAGGTTTCTCCCCTTGGTAATATTCGAATGGGTGGGATCGTAGACGTACTTTGCATCATTGTTCCAAACTGTATTGCAGGACCTCCCAATGTTGACGGAGATCCTGTTCTCAGTTGGGTCGGTGCGATGGACCCTCCATGTTGACCTTGCGTGCATTCATGATAAGTGTTAATGATCAAAGGCCTAACCACTTCAGTCATACGCCTTACCACATAATCAGCGAACTCGTTCTGAGTTTCTTCAATAGTCCGCCTCATGGTAGAAAGTGTAACTGGTGTGAGCTCAGTTTGCCTTCTATCTTCAACACGCTGCCTCGACATATCTATGACCTCCTCTCGAGATTGGTTAGCAACCTCGGTATGAAGAAGTTGAGCGGATGATGTCTCAGCACGGGTATTATCTTCCGCCATCGATGCAGCTTGCTCGTCAGTAGTATTATCCAAGTTGGTTCTACTCCGGGTGCGTGGCATAGCACTCTCTCTTCTTAACTCAATAAATGTCCCACCGAGCGTGCCAAAAAGATGTTTCACCGATTTTATCCCGCTGAAAATCTTTCACCGAACGTTGCGTTTCGGATTTTATTAGAGGAGACTCGGGTCTTGAATCAAGCTCGGACAGAGAATGTCAAATGCGTTTATTAAGCCCAATTTATATCTTACAACTTGACTCGATAATACACCAAACTCGACAATACTAACAATGGGATGACAACTTGCAAATACCGAGACCAAGCTATGTCGGAATCTAATCAACGACACAACTAATATGCGACATTACCATTCAAGGTACGCCAGAATCTAATCAATGACGTAACTTGAGAGAATATGGCTGGAATCTAATCAACAACTATATTCCAAGCACAACGCCGGAATTTAATCGACGACGCTGAACTGATGGCACAACATTGAAATTTAATCAACAATGCTGAATCTGATAAAGACTCTTGCCGGAATTGAATCTACGACGTAGAATCTGAAAGTTGCAACTAAAACTACTCCTAATGCACTAAGAGTAAGGCTAGATAAAAGATGTGTTGTATTATTCGCGAAGGTCCCTCTACGTTGGAAATCCTTGAGTATTTATAGAGCAGCTTGATAACTGTTGACCGACCACTTCTCCTTAAAAGTCGTTTTTCACTTCCTTACGTTTCGCGTTTTAACCGCTTCCTGACTTATCGATGTTACTTACGCTCCTTGGGCATCACGTAATAGCTGATTTTCTTCCATGTGTCTCTTTATTTCTTGCTATTTCCTAAGTGTCATTCTCTAACTTCCTTGATCATCACACCCACGGTCATATCTTCACTTTTTGACACATGTAAATGAATTTTTCACCACGTGTCGCCATGTATTTAATCCATGATTTCAGACTTATCAACATCACGTGCAAAACTCGTGATTTTGGATTTGTCGACATTACGTGCAAAGCTCGTGCTCTTGGATTTGTCGACGTCACGTGCAAAGCTCGTGATCTTGGATTTGTCGACGTCACGTGCAAAGCTCGTGATCTTGGATTTGTCGACGTCACGTGCAAAGCTCGTGATCTTGAATTTGTCGACATCACGTGCAAAGCTCGTGATCTTGAATTTGTCGACGTCACGTGCAAAGCTCGTGATCTTGAATTTATCGACGTCACGTGCAAAGCTCGTGATTTTGGACTTGTCGACACTTCTATGACGTGTCCTGTCGATAACTACCTCAAGTCTTCCCAATGCCTCTGGGCCTGACTCACAGCCTTTTTCGGATTTATGCCATGTGGGTCGTACTTTATATCCTTTGTGACTTGTAACCGGCCCACTCCCACCAGGGGTAATTTTGAGTGTCAACAACACCATTTCAATGATGCATCCGAAGGAGCTAGTGGTGATGAGAAGGGTCGAGTTTCCTTTGATGAATGCGTAGTAAAGCCAAACCATGGAGCTGAATAGAGCAACCAAATAGGGTACCGACTGGAAAACCTCGATCGCTTTCTCCCTGTAGATTCTGTAAAATGTCGGTCTGTAATAAAAGATAAAGAAGCAGAATTAGCAGTTATTATATCAGGATCAGACGACCATCTACGTGAAGGAATTATGATTACTTACACTGGAATGGTGTTGTTGACACTCAAAATTACCCCTGGTGGGAGTGGGCCGGTTACAAGTCACAAAGGATATAAAGTACGGCCCACATGGCATAAATCCGGAAAAGGCCGTGAGTCAGGCCTAGAGGCATTGGGAAGACTTGAGGTAGTTATCGACAGGACACGTCATAGAAGTGTCGACAAGTCCAAAATCACGAGCTTTGCACGTGACGTCGACAAATTCAAGATCACGAGCTTTGCACGTGACGTCGACAAATCCAAGAGCACGAGCTTTGCACGTAATGTCGACAAATCCAAAATCACGAGTTTTGCACGTGATGTTGATAAGTCTGAAATCATGGATTAAATACATGGCGACACGTGGTGAAAAATTCATTTACATGTGTCAAAAGGTGAAGATATGATCGTGGGCGTGACGATCAAGGAAGTTAGAGAATGACACTTAGGAAATAGCAAGAAATAAAGAGACACATGGAAGAAAATCAGCTATTACGTGATGCCCAAGGAGCGTAAGCAACATTGATAAGTCAGGAAGCGGTTAAAGCGCGAAACGTAAGGAAGTAGAAAATGACTTTCAAGGAGAAGTGGTCGGTCAACAGTTATCAAGCTGCTCTATAAATACTCAAGGATTTCCGACGTAGAGGGACCTTCGCGAACAATACAACACATCTTTTATCTAGCCTTACTCTTAGCACATTAGGAGTAGTTTTAGTTGCAACTTTCAGATTCTACGTCGTAGATTCAATTCCGGCGAGAGTCTTATCAGGTTTAGCATTGTTGATTAAATTCCAATGTTGTGCCATCAGTTCAGCGTCGTCGATTAAATTCCGGCGTTGTGCTTGGAATATAGCTGTTGATTAGATTCCAGCCATATTCTCTCAAGTTACGTCATTGATTAGATTCTGGCGTACCTTGAATGGTAATGTCGCATATTAGTTGTGTCGTTGATTAGATTCCACATAGCTTGGTCTCGATATTTGCAAGTTATCATCTCATTGTTAGTGTTGTCGAGTTTGGTGTATTATCGAGTCAAGTTGTAAGATATAAATTGGGCTTAATAAACGAATTTGACATTCTCTGTCCGAGCTTGATTCAAGACCCGAGTCTCCTCTAATAAAATCCGAAACGCAACATTCGGTGAAAGATTTTCAGCGGGATAAAACCAGTGAAACGGTGTACATCGCTATATACATTGCTTATGCGCCGAGAGCTGCGAGGGTACGTCCTGATTGTTAGACAATACAAGCTAATATTTCGATCAATAAATTCCAGTGATAGCTCTTTTCCCCTTATTTTTTTTCTAACAACTCTGTTTGTTTTGTCTAACTTAATTATCTTGATTATTGCAGAACTCCACGATTAAGCTCTTTCTTGTGATGAACTTGGGATTATTCTCTCTCCTAATTCTCATCACACGCATCATTCCAAACGCTCATACACGTACCAAGGTGTCGGGATGGATCTGCGCGACGATTTCCGTGTGCGTCTTCGCAGCCCCGTTAAGCGTTGTGGTGGGCACTCAATCTTTCTTTTCCCAAATTCTCATATTTAACCATGGAAAACGCATTGTAACTTTCTTTTTTCGGCCTATTCTGGTGTCCAGGCATGAGTTATACGGACGAAGAGTGTGGAGTTCATGCCCTTCTATCTATCGTTCTTTCTAACGGCGAGTGCCGTCATGTGGTTCAGCTATGGTTTCTTCAGAAAGGACTGGTACATTATGGTAAGTGATCTCCATTTTCGAAAGATTAAATTAACGATTGTATAGGATTACTTTCATTTGCATTAAGTGTATGTTCTATCATAATATGCATTGGTGTAATGTAGATCCAATTAGTTTCTTCAGCATCACTTTTGGGTTCTGCTGCATTTGATACGAAAAATGTTGCGTTGGCACGTCGATTTCGTGGACTAAGACTAAATAAATTTTCAAGAAAAGCTAATAAGAGCATATGCGGGTCCCATGTCCATAGACATCCCAACACGAGAATGTCTAACAAAGAATGTTCTTGACATGGACATGCAGATACCGAACATCCCGGGCTTTGTCTTGGGACTATGTCAAATGGCGGTGTACGGGTACTTCAGAAACAAAGAGAAGCTCCCACAACACGCCGCCAACATGGTCTCCGACGTCCACCCAGTCACCGTCGAAATCCCGCCCCCCGTCGACGGCGGAGAAGCCCGTGCGGATGAGCAGTAGCCGGAGGGCGCCACGGATTTGGGGTTTAATATGTAGAGTTATTAGCTAGCGTGGGTCGAACTTAATATGTAAAGTTCTGGCGATGACCTCTGAGCGATAGAATATTTGGCGATGTTAATAGCGTATTGTCTGTGGCAGACATTGTTCTTTATGGTTCTGCTCTGAGCAGGGTTTCCGATAAATTTGCCGTCTGATTCAGCTGCGTATCTTCCTCTTTAAATTTAGCTTCTGATCGAGAACCATCGTTGCGTCCATTTTCACATCACAAAAAAAATGCATGCTTTATCGTTCCGAGCTTACCAAAAAGCTTCTTGTCTGCAACAATTGACGTCTCAATCATATGGAGGAAGTCGCATGGATAATACTCATCTTGCGTAGGAAGAAAGGGAGTAAAAAATCTATTGACTTTGCCACCTTCTGAATCTCTTTTGAATTTGCAGAATCAGATTCAGTGATGCTTCGCGCTAAAATCCTCTCCTTTAATTTGTGGGTTCATTCTGGAGGTTGTAGATTCAGTATTATCGTGTTGCTTCTTATGGAAACTGGATGCTTACGTTGACAGAATCATTGTTATCTCTTGCTTTAGATGTTTCGTTTCTTCTCTTGCTCTAGGTTTCACAGGGTTCTTCTCATTCTCGTTATCCTAACTTTTTAATGATGATTCCAATTTCCTTACCTAATGCATGTGGAGAGGGCATTTTGCGTGTATCCTTGGGAACTAGTTGAACGAATGTTCGAATGCCCATATTATAAAAGAAAAAGAAAATAATTTCCACTGGGAGGTGATTGCCTATCAGTGCCGAGTTTTTGCCTCTGTGTTTTCATGTGAATGTTTGGGTTCTAGTCACAAATGTTTCAAACGGAAATACTCCTGATAATGTTATCTTAACAATCATATTCACTCTTTACAATCTAACACAACTGCTCACTAAAAGCGGAAGTGCTGTACACCTTACTTTGCAGCGTATCGCTTGAGAGCATGGCCTCATATTGGTGGATACAAAGTATGAACTCGGGAAGGCTGAGGACAGTTCCATTCTTTTGATAGATGAGGTTTACTTTTCCTCCTTCCGTTTCCCTCTCTTGTATGCACCAACACATTGGCAGTGTTTCCTTCTGACTATATCAGAATAGGGTATTATATCATGACAGAGTGTTATTTTTTTTTTGGCTTGGAAGTACAGGTGCATACTCCTGACTCAATTAGATATAGGATAGCGCAGTCTTATGATGAACGGTTTCAAAATGGTCTTGAGCCTGAAAATGTCGACAAGGTACGCGATATTGTCCCTGGTTCTGGTCTTTTTTACAGTTATGGGGTGCAGAAGCTAAGGCATGTGCTGTGCTGCTGCGAAAGGGTGGCTGAAGGGTTGAATAGCAATTTCCTTGGATGTTCTATGGCTGGATCATTTTAATGTCTTCATTTGTCCTCTTGAAATGTTCCTGCAGTATCTGAACTTATTCTCAATCTGTAGGAGTTCTTGAGGCTATGGTTCAAAGATCATTGCAATCCCTAGGAAGATGAGGTACTTAACTTGAGGAAGTACCATTGGATTTTCTTACGTTTATACTTGACAGGAGATTGTTTATCTAATCTTGCTTGGTTTAAAGACTGCTCAAGTAAAATTACAAACATGATGGTTCTGGTTCTCTTGACGTCCCCTAATGTACTGTCTCCAGACTTTCAATGTGAGCCTAGTTCATAACATTTTATTCTGTTTTGCGGTGTCGTCAGGTGAGAACTGTCACAAGAGAGCAAGTGAAGTTACTGCGAGAAGCTGTTTGCAATGTGAGTTCCGGTCTTTAACTGACTTTTTCAAATGGAAGCGAGAAAGTTGAATTGTTGTGAATGCAAAGATTTATTTATTGCTTTTGCAGGACTCTGAATTCAACGCCAGGCCATTGCAACCCATAAACAGGCGCCCGGTGCAGCTGGTTAGTCCAACTGACAGCGAATTAGAAAGCGAGAATCCGTGATTTTGCTGTTAATGCCCTCATTAGTGGGACGACGCAGAGCTTTCAGTGATAGTATAATGTAATTGACAGGGTGGAAAATAGGTGCGGAAGTTGGTTAAAGGATACTTAATCATATATTAGAGTGGCCGGAGATTTTATTCCCCTCGCGTATGCTCATCGGTTTCTCGGTTTATTATTACCTGCAGTTACCACGATCCGGATTATTTCTCTGATTTCATGACAGTTATATGCTCTTAAGATAAGAAAAGAACCTGCAGGCTTCTTCTACAGCAATGGAGCGAGAACAGTTGACAGCACAAGAATAGAGCACATCACATCAGACCAACCAGCTTTAGATCATTTCTAGGTTCTTCTAGAAGGAGAAATAAGACTAATGGTGACGGAGTTTGTAATTGTCTCGTACAAGAAAATGTATCTGCCAAGCAAAATTCACGACAGTAATTATTTCCACTTGTTATCCCCCTAGGTTTGTAAACACAGCTATCAAAACAATTGGAGAAACAGAACAGAACTGCCATAAAGCATCGTTTGTGTTTCAGGAAGTAAAGAAAGATCATTATAAGTCCGTCCTATCCACCACATCACCTATTAACTATAGCTTCTGAAGGCTCCTTAACTAAAGCACAACAGAAGCAGCACAATCACTCTTCCTTTTTTACCCTGGGAGACCTCTTCGCAAACATGCAGCTATCGCAGGCAAAATTCAACTTTGACAATTAGTTTATAACTTTTTCATGAATTACAGATTTCACAATGTATAATTGAGCAAAATGTGACTTCCGGAGACCTATAGTGCAGGGATTTTCACTAAATGTTCATAAAGAGAATGTTTTAAATGCCAAATGACAAGTAAGACATACCGCCATGCCATTTCAGCAGTTAGCAACACTTTGCCAAGTTCCGAAACTTTGACCGTTCTATGCGCCACCGGCTCATCCGCAGGTGACATCTTCTTGGGCTTCTGGATATTGATTGAATATCCACCAGAGTTAGGCACAAACTCAGCACCATAACTGACTTCCCACCCAACAACACGGAGCTCCCAAGTGATAACACATTTCTGCATTTGGAAGAATCTCAGTCACTAATACTAGTACAAGTAATCCATCCATTAGTTTTTCTTATCACATATTTTGCGGGATATAGAATTAGAAAAATAATATCCATAACAAGCAGAACTTAGGCATAAGATTGAATGAAAATATCTGTTTATACCTCATAGATTATGATTTCCACAATTTGTTTGATCCCCGGCTTAACTGTCATCTCGGTTGCAGGGTCGGAAACAGTAAATTCGGGATCGCAATCGCAATAATCTACACTCAGGCCACCATACTGCACTGGTACTTGCTCAGGAGAAATGTACTTGCCAATCATGCAAGCACAATGTTTCGACTATAACAAAGGCTCCAGGAGGAAATGATTAGAACTTAATGCATCGAAACGCGTTTGGATCTATTTACTTGAAAAGCATCTCCGCGGTTCTCGAGGAGCTTGCAAACACAAACTTGCTCTTGGTCCCATGGGTCAAAAAAGGCCTAATCATTGCGTAGAACGCCAGATACCACCAGGGAACATTGATAAATACCTAACCAAAGACCCCATCATAACCCACAAAAATCGTCAATTCAAACAATTATTTGGCCATGGATTTTGCAGGAAAGTCAAAAGAAAGGCTGGAAAATGTATCTGTGCCCCTGAGCCCCTGACTGTGGTCGCATTCCAAAAGGCAGCCTCATTCCCCTAGATGATGATGCCATTCTGTAATCTAATCTAGTGTAAATTATAAAAAAGAAGAGTAAAGAACAGAACACTACCCTCAGCTCTTTCAAGAAGATCCAAATTTACGCCATATGCATAAATGTCAAAATGTAAATCTGAAATGGAGTTCCAGGTCGTATAGTGTATATCTCTGCCACCCTGGAACCTATCCCGCAGATACTAGATTATTTTTTAAACCTAAAAACCTATCTTCTGACACCTTGGAACCTTCGGAATCAGAAATCTGGAATCTGTTAGTTCCCACAAGTTCTCAACTTTTTAGGATTTTTGGGTTAACCAATATCAGCATTGTTAAAGTATCTCACATTGCTTGTCCATGAGGCTATTCTTCTCACCTAATAGCTTAAGCTTTTTGGTTCGTATATTCTAACAAACATATTTGACCCAAATTCCACATATAATCTCTACAGTGGAAATAAAAAACAGGGCACATTCGAGTTGTTTTCTTTTTTTGGCCTACAATGACATAGCCTCAGCGTAACAGATTTTGGAGGGAAAAAAAAGTGGTCCAATTACTAAAATCCCCTCATCAACTCTTTTAGACTCTGTAAACCGTTATCCCTAACGCGTACTCTTAGTATTGCATCAGCAGCTCCCACAGAAAAACAGCACGGGATCCATGTCAAAGCCAATGGAAACCTATGCGCGTGACATACAGCGCGCAAGACATCTGTTATTTCAGCCAAGGCAGCTCTCTGATTACTGGAGAGGCACTGCATAATGATAGATCTTTCAGGCGCACTGTACAGCCTCACGGAAAAGTAAAGCTACGTTTAATTCTTTTTCTATGTTTCACCTGTGGAAGACGCCGTGGAGGTGGTGTAGTTCTCAAATTTACAGCCTGCAATAGTCACTAACCGTCAATTTCCACACTCACAAACGAGCCAAAAACTGAAAAAGGAAATTTGAAGTTGATGATTCAAAAAATTATATAGAAAGTGAACAGAATAAAGCACTAATGAAAACATCCAGCCACAGCATAAGAAAATCCTGATGTAAAAAAGAAAAATTCGATGCCTAACCTTAGCATTTGATGGGCACCCCTAAATAATTCCATAATATATAAGTTCAAGTCATTTGATTCACTCTTTTTTTTTCCTTTTTGTAATGTTATAAGCATTTATACTTGAAGCGAATGTCGAAGAACGTGTTTCTTTGCCGTGCATCAACTAGACGACATTGAAATTCCCCCGCATACAAGTTTCTTATAAAACACTTCTTTTCACTATTTTTCACTATAAAGCCAAAGCAATAACTTTCCAAAAGGTTGATGTCCCACATAGGTTCAGTAATTACAGCCAAAGAAGCAAACAAGAAAGCCCGAAGTAAAAAGTGCCCCCAGGAAAGTCTCAATCCATGATATGATTAGTGCAAAGAAACAAAAGGAGACTTCAAGAGAAGTCCAATCATGTAGCCTCGAAATGAGCGCTGCGAAATGTTAGTGTGTAACACTTTTGCTGACAATTCTAGACAGTATGCTACAACCAAGGTACAATCCACTACTCTTGCTAAGCCCTTCTCCTCCTCATGCAGGCAGAACTTCATGCTCAGTCTCTGGAAAAACAGCTAATATACTTCACCTTTACGAATGTAAATAAAACAGGCTTGTATGCAGACTCCACAATCTTCAGAAACCAAATACAAACACTATGCTTGATCAACTGCTCTCCAAAAGCATCGTCTTGATGTATAACATGCGAAATAAAAGTCATTGATCAGATTTAGTCTTGCTTCATATAGCAAACAAAAGAAAATAGCTATTATTTATATGAATTCTCTAAAATGTGGACCGCTTCTATGAATTCTCCGACCAAAAGGTGGAAAAGTAACAAAAGAAACTCCGTATGCCATGCACTTCTAGTATAGTGGTTTCCAGCAAAGGCACTATGTAGTTAAATTGCGTGCCGCTCATCTGGATTCGCAACTTTTACAAGAAAGGCAAAGAAGAGAACAGTCATCTTCATTCTAGAGGAACAAAGAAAGGAAAATTAACCCGGAGGGCAAGGCACACTTTCTCCATTTCCAAGTTGAAGATGGGTTTTTCTTTCATAGTGAGAAGTTCCAGCACCGCACAGCAGGACTTATCAGAAGAGTCAAAAACTGGCAAGGCAATAGAACCACGGATATTGTGGTGAACTGCATGTTTTACCCGTAAATATTCACTATTATTGTAATACATTACATTAGAAGTCCATTCTGGAACTTTCGACGTAAAAACACGACCAGGAAGGCCCAGAAAAGTTCCCGGTTTTTCCTCGGCGGAGAAGGTAAATGTTCTGGATACTTCTCAATATCCTTCTAGCATTTTGTCAAGTAAATAAGGTTGCTCACAGGTGCTTAAGACATACTGATCCCCAAGCTTTATGGGGACCCAGACCTGAGCCAGAATTCCCCCTCCAGAATACTCGTTGAACAAGGAGAGTGCCCTCAGCATCTTCTCATCTAATGAACGAGCAAGAGGCCTTGCTATTGCATTATTAGCCACATCAGAAATACCCAGTCGCCCAAGGGCACCTTCACCTTGTTTAGGCCCTGAATCATTTTGGTCATTGGAATCCAACTGATAATCAAGTTGGCTATCTGCTTGCTGAAAAGCCAACCTTTCCACACACGCATAAGAACTTCCCACAGCATTTGACACCCCGCCACGGTCGGGATAGTAAAAAGAACTTTGTTCTGTAAAATTCATCATATCCAATGATCCATACGGTGCTGATGGACTTACCAGTAACCCATAGGATGCAAGTATCTGCTCTGTTGTAGATGGACTGTTGCATAATCCAGCATAACCATCGAAATTCATCAGCTCGGCAAAGTTCCCAAAAGGATCCTCCAAGATCGAATTTCTTGTGCCATTATCCAAAGGAGCAGAGCTGTCCGCCTGCACTCCTGGAGGAGTCCAGTAACCCATACCCTTCTCTTTGGAAGAAAAGGGGTATTCCATTTGAAGTGAAAAAGAAAAAAAACCTTCCCCGCCAAGTATTACAAGAAAATGCTAGAGTCTTATTAGATTGTGTTCACTCTAGTAAGTCACGCTGTTCGCTACATCTTCCTACAATTGGCTACCCTGCAACTGAGATCACACGAGAATTGCAGCTAGTTTCAAAACCAACTATCGAAATCGTTCACCGTCAGGATTGGACAGTAAGACCAGCTCTTCCAAAATCAAATAGCAAACACCCTGCACCACAAACACAACAGTTTTATCTCAGGGTCGCCCTGCCTCGGGTGACGGCCGCCGGCGGCAGATCTGGCTAGCCGGGGGTCGCCTGACCTCGGGCGACGGCCGCCGGTGCTAGATCTAGCTCGCCGGCGGCCGTAGGCCTTCACCGGCTCCGGCGAAGGATAAGGTAGGTTTTTATTTTTTTTAATAAAAAAGATAATTCCCAAAGCCTTTTTGTAAAAAAAACTTGCCAAACACTACTTGGATCAAAATAGCTTTACAAAGGATTTTTTACCAAACGCCATTTATATTTCCCAAAAGAGATATTTGCATTCCCCTAAATAGCATTTAGAAAGTCGAACCAAACGTGCCCTAAGTTGGTCAGGTCAGGCATTCGAGAATCTCTTCGAGGAAGTTGTCGTATAAATTTTTGCTGTTCTTTAAGGACGGGACACGATGTAACCCTACGGAGCAGAGCATTCGCCTTCCCGCCAAAAAGGGAGGGAGGGGGAAACGGGGGAGGGGAGAGATAAAACAAAGAGCAGCAGCTACAAAGAGCAGCTGGGCTGCAGAAGATCGCAACTCGCTGGAGAGATCACGATGAAGATGGCGGCGGCGGCGGCCTCTGCACCACCTCGTGGTGGACCCTCGTCCGATCAAGGGGAAGGCGACAACAGTCTGCAGGTTCGTTCGTTCTCTCGTCACTCCCAATCCCCCAACATTCTTCCCTGAGAAAATCGCAGTCTTCATTGTCTTGCTTCGTTATGTTCCCGCACTGATCGGTGCTTGGTTATTTATGGCCGGATTCAACAGCCATTTTTCCTTCTCCATAAAGCGGCCTCCTCCTCCGACAAATCCGATCGGAAACCGTTCCGGAGGAGGATCCCCTCGTCTCCAGCATCCCCGAATAAACCCGGCAAGTCGGATGACGACGATTGCTCCGGGGATCATTCCCACGAGCGCTTGCGAATGGAGGCTTTCCAACATGCCTGGTCTGATATCGAGACTACCATTAAGGTTTCTCTCTTCCCTCCTTGTTTCTCGCTAGAGTTATCCGTCAGTTCCGGCTTCAGATTTGCATCTCTCGTTTTAATCTTCCATACCTGTCGACGAGACATCCTTTCTGTCATATTTCTCAAGACCGGTGATCTTTCAATTCAATTTCCATTGCAGGGTGTCCTCCAGAGTATCGACTCTGGTACATTCGAGGCTATATATTCCTCGATCAGTGACTTTTAATTCATCCTTTTGTTAAGGTTTGACACCTCGAACCACCTCATATATGCACATAGTTCTTTGCATATTCAAATTAGGGGACTTACTTATTCTTCACATGCATGTGTCAAAGCTCATTCTCTCAGTGACTTTTACATGTTTCCGTTAGATTTCTTTTAATCTGCTGTACATAAGAGGTTAAACGTGAAAAGTGGTAAATCTCTTTCTACAAAAAGAGGTGGTGTAACTTGGTTTGCTATTTAATCAGAGGAATATCATACTTATGTCTGCATTCTACAATGTGCATTCAAAATTAAGGGTGTATATATAGTTGCGCACCTAAGTCTAGGACCTATTAGTGTCGCAAGGCATCCATATGATCACATTTAAAATGTTATGGAGTTTAAATAAACTAACTATTTTGTGATTAGTTTTCACCACGGCGGCTGTTAAGCCACCATCTTGTGCTATGGACACCCAAGGTTGGCTTTTTGACCATTAAACCTGTTTATAGGTTGATGTCAAAGACCATATGTATCACGTGCTTATTTCCTTTTATTATACTTTATGAAGCCATCCTGATGATAAGATTCTTTCAGCGAGTGGGCAATGAAGATTCCAGTCATCTTAATCATAGGAGTGGCAACAACGCCAGATCGGTTGAGAAGCATAATTCAGTCTGAGGCGCTGCAGTGCTTGTGTCCTTTTAAGTTCAATTTGGGGACTCTGGCAGAGAGAATGGATGCAGTTGTTGAGGCTATTCTGGTGAAGCAGAGTCCTGGTTTCTTTATTAGCCATAAGGTGGCAGCTTTTAAGAGGAATCATTTTGTTAACCATGGTGGAACATTGAGTTCTTTCATTAGAGCTTTCGCGAAGCATGCATTCGGAAACGTAATCGTTCCGAGCTCGACGTAATTAAAATTTTAAACGTTGTTGCATACGTTATTAATAGTGGGTATTATTATTATTGATTAATCTTGGTTAAGTAATGTTAGCCATTTTATTTTAAATTGCCGTTAAGGGAAAGGGGGAAGATATCCTCTCAAAATATCTCTTCTGGACTCTTCTTCACTCACGTGACTATTGAAGGAAAAGTTGACCGAATGCCATTTGTCCCCTTGAGCTAGACACCTAAGCCTTGGGTAATCATTTTTCCTTGGCCAATACTCCTACGATTAAGCCACTGATTTCTTTCACCTGGCCATGATGAAGAGATAAGGTGCCACATGTGAATACAATGAAATTACCCACCCCTTCGTATACTTCTCAGTTTTCATCTTCGTCTGTGTAATTATCGAAGACAATTTCACTCAAATCGACACTCTTTTCTTCATTTTCTACTCTCACCATCACTGATCCAAAAAATCTGTGGAAGAGTTTTAACCTTTGGGGTGTTTAGATTCTGTATAAGGTAAGTGAACACTCTAGGTTTAAAGCTAAGTAAATCTACTTGGCACTTTTAACTTGGTTGCTTGAGAAAGGTTATTCTGTTGTGCAATAGTGAGGTTGTGGTGATGGTTGAATATGTTTTGCTAGTTCTGTGCATGTTCAAATGGATGTGTTTTGTTTCCTTAAAGTATGGTGAAAATCGACAAGTAGAACGATTAAATTTGTACGTGTAAGTGTTATTTTTGAGCTAATCGTTGAATTCTTCTTATTGGTTTATGTATGTTTAAACATAATAGAAAATCGTTTTACTCAAAGTGATGATTCTGTTTACCTTTGAAACTGAGCAGATTTTTAATCTCAAATTCTGGTTTCGTGTACCTTTGAAAAATGTTCAGACTTTACTTCTGAAACTGATTTAGATTTTACTGCTCGGACCTTACTTTCTGAGTCTGAACTTCCTTCTGAGTCTAAACTCGCTTCTAAGCCCCAATTTGCTTCTTATGACCGAAATTGCTTTTGATGACCGAAGTTGCTTCTGATGACCGAAGTTGCTTCTGATGACCGAATTTGCCTATGAGCCGATTGCTTCTGATGACCGAATTTGCCTATGAGTCGATTGCTTCTGATGACCGAATTTGCTTCTGAACCCGATTTTACTTCTAAGTCTGAGTATGCTTCTGAGTCTGGAATGTATTACTTCATATTTAATTGCTCGAATGATGGATTTCATGGCTTTAAAGTACAAAACCGTGATGGCTCGGTATGGGACGGGCTAAAGCGGACTTTTGCATGCAAATACTTGGTTGCCATGACTTGCATAAGAATAATATTAATTCCGTCGCCCATTTAGTGGTGTGTGACGATGCCCCGTGTGTCGGGATGCCCTATAGGTTGGGATGCCCCGGGGAGTGTTTCGGGATGCCTCAGGAGTCGAGATACCCCGTTGGTTGGGATGCCCCGGGTGTGTGCCGGGATGCCTCGGAGTTGAGATGCCCCGTTGGTCGAGATGCCCCGGGAGTGTTCGGGAGGATGAAGTAATGAACCTAATCGCATGAGCATAAATGTTTTACATCATGTTTGCGTCTGAGTGAAAATATTATGATATGTTGCATTACTCATATTTTGTGGCACATCCAGATGGAAAAAGGTATAACTTGCATTCAAGTTCTATGCATATCGTTTGCTATGCATGCATGTGTGTTTATGCCAGGTGAAGTGGTAAGTTGATTTTCCTAACTTAAAACTAGAGATTTCATTTACTGGCCTTCAGCTCATTCCATTATTTTTCAGACATGTAGGATGGATGTTTCATAGCTCTTACGTTTTGGAGTTCCTGTTTATCATGAAGCTGTTTATGAGGATGTGTTTGTGTCCGAGTCTGACGCCGTATATACTAAGTGCAGCTCTACAATATGGGTTGATGTGGGGCTTCCGGAATGGGTTCCTTATCTTTTTGTTGCGTGGTATTTCAACATGGATGGCGAGTTAATTGGCCCGTTGAGGGGCTTCGACCTAGACAATGATGGTTCCGCAGCGGAGGGTGAAGTGATCGACCCGTGACAGCTTTAGACTTTAGTTAAGGCAGACTTTTGGATGTAAATTCTAGTTTGAGATAGGCAACCCTAACCTGCCCAGATTTTTGTTATTGTATGATGTTTTGTCTGGATTGTAAATCTGACAAGGGTTTGTTAATGAGAAGAAAAAGTATTTTGACTAAATTTGTGTGATATTCATGTTTAGTCTTTAGCTTCCGCTGGCCAATTAATAAAAATTTTAAGGGATATGTGTCGCGCGTGATATTCTGGGGCGTCACAGGCAACCTCCGCCAGCCTCAAGCGAGGGCCGCCCTCGCCGGCGTTGGGCAAGGGTCACCCAGCCCGCGTCGGGCAAGGGTCGCCCTCACCGGCGTCGGGCGAGGGCGAGGGCAAGGGTCGCCCTCGCCCTCCCAGGAGAGGGCGGCCCTCGCCCGACGCCTGCAAGGGCAGCCTCTGCCGGCCCCGGCAATGGCCGGCGAAGGGAAGAGAAAAAAAAAAAGAAAAGGAAAAGGAAAAAAAACAAAAAAAGGAAAAAAGAAAGAAAAAAAGAAAAGAATTCAAAAAAGTAAAAGACGAAAATACCCTTTGGCCAGTAAGGTTAGGTTCTTATTTGAGACTGATATAGCCACTTCATGCCCTTATTTGAGACAAGGTTCACTTCATGCACTTATATGAGAAAATGACTCCACTTTGGGCCCCCTTTTGAAATTTTCCCTCTAAATCTTGATCTTAACATCCGCTTACCCCTTAGACCGTAATTAAAGGAAAATGAATAAATTATTTAAAAGTTTGAAACTCGAAAATTGTAGCCTTTGTGAATGACTTCTTATAATTGAGAAGAGTAATTTCGGAACATGTAAAGTAGATAAAACATCTTAAATGGTTCTAATCTCGTCGGCGCACGTGATTCATTTGTTCCCACTACGAAATTCCTGTGGTCAAGCTGCCTAACTTTATGATGAAACAAAGTAATGATTCTTGATTTCCTCTAATTGCATTTTTCTTTAAAGTAGCTTTCGATTCTAAAACCATCTTCGTGGAAAAGCTCCCTTTCTTCATTCAAATTTCCAGATTTATGGAGATTGATAAATCTAATTGATATGCTTCCACTTAATGCCATTTGCTCAAAGATTTTGTTTTTTGTTTTCCTAAATCACAACAATCAATTAAAATAAATGACATTCAATCAATCTTGATCTTGATTCTGGGGAAGAATTTATTTTAGAAAAAAAGGGTCAATCAACACTTTCCAATATGAATCGTTCCATGTTTAAGCCAAGAGAAGCGACTTCATGCATACACTCAATGTCTATAATTGGAGCAAGGTGATTAATTTCATCAATAATGACAACTTCATGCCTCGTCTATGCTCTCCCGGTGTTCATGATTGGTCTATTGATCAGGATGTTCAGTGATCATTCCAATTCCGATTATTTTTATTGTTTTTATTATTGTTATTTTGCCTACATCTTCTAGTGAAAACATCATTTTGTTTTATTAAATTTGCACGCGTTTCAAATTGGTTCAATGGGAAGGCCCAGCAAGATCCACTCCTCACCTTTTCTAGTTGGTTCAAGGCCGGCCCATGTCCTTCTAATGTGCGGCTACCCCACGATCTCGCTTACTTACCTTGGCCACATATCTATAAATTCCTCACTTGTTATTTATTCTCCTTATCCAAGGAGAGGGACTTTTGAACTTCTTAACTTTTTTATTTATTTATTTTATCCCCACATTTTTTAGATTATGAAAACATAATCCCTCCTTCTGAACACTTATCAAATATACCCAACATTAGACTCCCTCCAAAATTACAAATTATTCACAAGAGTTTATTAATTTATTTGAGGAGAAAAGAGAAAAAAGGACCAGGGAAATTAATGCATGGTGGGAGAGCGAGAAAGGAACTGGCTATGGACAAGACAACAGAGGTAGGAAGATGGAGAGAGAGGGTGAACGTTGAACAAGTATCCAAAAATTAAGAGATTTAAGTACATCTCTTAAGTACGATGTCAGACAAGCAATATATAACACAAAGCCATTAGGCATTTGCTCGATGTATGATTATGTAAAAGCGTAAATGACTACCGGTCCGCCAAA